CTGCAGTTGTGGAAACAAAACAAAAAGTTTCTACTATTTTGGACGCACGAACAAATAAAATTTTTAATTCTCAACTTTTGCACTAATTGTAAACACGAAAAACCATAATTTAATCATAAAATATATGGAAAAACCATAAATCTTTTGACCTTTCAGCAAACAGAACAAAGACATTGAAGTTTTATGTATTTACATGTTTTGTCGACTTTTGTGTATTTAAAATTCAATACTTCTTTTTTTTTTTTAATTTTAATTGGATATCTAAAAGAGTCACTGTTTCAAAGATAAAAACAAAATCAGGAAATTAATTGAGAAACTAAAGTGTTAAAAGAAATAAAAACCGTTCAACTATATGGAACATAAATTATTAATCTTTTGGTTGTATATAGTATTAAAGTTGCCAAACGGTAGTGGATGACAAGACAACAACCAAATGGTAATGAACACAAATAACTAAAGTGAATGAGAAACTAAAATCCCAGCCTCGGGCGTACTAGTGACAATTAGAACTATAAATAGCAGTAAATAAATATACAGAGTCATGATAAATGGACGAAGGAGACTTCGAGAGTGGAAGGCTAGTCACGACAATAAAGATGTTTCATGTTCATGTTGTATTCCGTTAAACATCTTCCTACATCAAATCCTATTCTTGACGCTGACACTGTATCGAAAATTCCACGTCAAATCAAACTTCTTTTCTTACAAATATTATTACAATCTACAACCGATTTCATGTTTATTTTTATATATTTTTCCCTTGTTATAAATATTATTTTCATATAAACTGAAAATTTGAGTACAAAACATCATTAACTTTTCTTTTACACAAAAATAAAAACATATTATATCCATATGGTACATTTCATATTCCATTTTGTTCTTTCAATTCCTGAACATTTTAGTACTAAAATATAAAATATTTTATAAGTCTGACAATTACCGTCTATGAAAAATCACATCAATATTAATTGAAATTAGGTTTATATTTCTTGATGGAGGTATATATGATGGATATGGAGGATCCTATAAGAATCGACATAACTAGACTTAATAAAAATATCCTATAATGAACCTATATATATGACATAAATCAAGAGAATAAAAAGAAGAAGAACCGATCTCCATGAAATTGAATGAAATACGAAAGTGATAACAATAACAATAATAGTAACTGCAATTAAATGTCATCAAGAGAGACGTACCGTACGATTAAAATATTTTGGTTTCCTTGAACATGGATAAATTGTTTTCTTCTTAAAATTATACTAATTCATAAGCAAAGCCAATAGATCAATGACGATGAAGCATCAAAACCCTAATCTCAAGACGGATCAACAGTACGGCGACCGTCGTCCCCAGCGGCGGCTCTAGGCTGCTGAAACTGAGTGATCTGTCCGATGGCGAGAATCCCTCCGTCGTAGTTGTTACCGGCGGGAACGTCTAAGCCACCAAACATGTGTTCTCTGGGGAAAAACTGGTGGTGATGATAGGGATGGTCTCTCACAGTGGCGGTGGTGGTTCCATCGCCGAGTAGGTTAATGCCGAGGCTCTGGTGAGTGGCGGCGAGGATGCCGAGGCTTTGGTACTTGGAAAGCTCTGATTTGGCGCAGCTGAGATCGATCTGAAGCTGACGAAGCTGATGCTGGAGGAGAGAGATGACTCCGACACAACCGTAGACTGGGTCCCGGAGACGCATGTCGGCTTCGTAGGCCAGAGAGTTAACGGCGTCTTCACGCTGCGATGGGTGGAGCTCGTTGAGGAGCTTGGTCACGTTGCTTGCTCCAAACACTTTGTGAACGTTTGCGAATTTCTGTGGCTGGTCCGGTGGGAAATACGGCGCGAATACGCACTCCGGCTGGCATTTTCGCCGTAGGAATTTGCAGGCAGCGCATGGTGAGTTTGTTGACGAAGATGCCATGTTTATCACAATGGAGTTTCTTCTCTCCTTCTCACTACACAAAGCCGTCGTTGAATTCCTCAATTAGGG